AAGAGAAACACAAATAGTCTGAGGAGGGGCGCGCTGTGCGGAGAGGAGGCTCGGTTTGGGGAGGCTCTAGGGGTAAAGGGAGGGATAGCGGGGCATCGGGGTCCAGATGAGGCAGAGGCGTCTCTAGAGCCTCAGGCCTGGAGGGGCGCCATCCCAGGGGGATAGGCTAGGGGGTCCGGGAGCAGGGGGTTCGGGGGGTCAGGGGTGGAATTGGGGACCCTGCGGGTCCTGAAGGAGCGGGGCGGGGCCTTGGTCTGGGGAGCCAGGGGTCGCAGTTGGGATTTGCTCTCAGGTGAGGACGGGTTGCGTTCGGGGCCCCAAGGCCCTGGGGGTCTGGCAGGGGCAAGAAAGGGGGAGGGCTGGGACCCGGACACGGGGGATTGAGGGGTCGCTCAGGGCTGAAAACGCGAGACCCAGGAACCTTAGGGTCTTCATAGCCTTGGGAGCAAGTTGGGCAGCAAGCCCCGACCCCACCCCCAGCCCTCCACCCCGTCACGCACACACACACACACTCCAAGGCTATGGGAGAGACGGGGGATAGGAAATGGGGGAGTCCCCGACTGTGATGGAGTTGGAGGTCCTCCTGGGAGGCTGCCGGGTGGGGGTGACGGAGCACCTCCCCGCCTCCTGTCCTTTGTTCCCACAGGGGGTGGGGGGCTCCGGCCCTGCCTCGGTCCCATCTCCTCGGCCTCCATCCTAGCCCGCCTCCTGCGGGCCATTCCTCTGCTCTTTCTGCCTTTTTGGGCGGAAGGGAGGGGAGGAATGCTGCCAGGCTGGGAAGAGGGGCTGCGGGCGGATCCTGGAGCAACAGGCCGGCCCCGGAGAAATGGCTTCTCCTCTATGGAGGCTTCGCTGAGCTGATGGTTTTCTCCTCCCCCTTCCCCGCTTGCTGCAGAGAGGGGCGGGGCACTAGGGGTCCTCCTCTGGGTGAGGGTGAGGTCTCTAAGCCAATGGCTGGCCGGCCATCACCCTTGGGCTGCGCCCCAAAAAGCTCTCTATTCCACCGGGCCGAGCCCCTCCTTTGAATGGGTGTGGGCAAGGTGAGTGATCGGGCCTAGCCTACCATTTTGTCCCCAGGTGTGCTGAGTTGATTATTAATATACCTACCTTTTCATCGAACACTTGCTGCAAAGCATTTTCATGCATTACCTTATATTATTTGACTACCTTATTTGATCCTTAAACCTATCAGATTTTAAGATGGAGGAACAGAGGCTCGGTGAAAATTCAGCTCCCAGTCACTTATGTATGTGACTCATCCATAAGCCACAGCCAGGGAATGGCAGAGCACATTTTGAACCCACGTCTTCCTTGACTCCAAGGCCCAGTCCCCTAACCGCTAAGCCATTTTGCCTTCTGTTATGGCTTAATAATTCATCACCACTCTTTTCCCCGCCCCCGCCCCCATCCCCATCAGCTTCTTAGTGCCTTGACTCTTGGTTCAGCAGCAGCAATCACAGCTGTTAACCAGTTAAAAAGATTGGAAACAGGCTTGCTTCCAGGATATAGGCAGGGCACCTGGGAAAAAATGCAGTAGGAAAGCTGGCCCTGCCAGACCTGGCGTTGTTCTGCCTCGGAACGGGTGGCTTTACCTGAAGCTCCGGTTGGATTGGGCTTTGAATTATCTGGAGAATGGAGGCAAAAAACTAAAGAGATGGCTTGATACAATAGTCTCCTTCTCTGTTCCTCACTGTTGGGTAGAGCCACAGACTTAACCCGAGTGCCTGCCAGATCCAGTGCTGGGACCATGGAGGAGGCTGAGGCTAGAGGGGGCCCTGCTTCGCAGCAAGAGTCAGGTGCAGCCTAGCTTTGGCCGCAGGGGTGGCGGGTGTTGAGAGGGTCTGGGTGACCTGCAGCTATTGCTGGGGGTGAGGGGCTCTGCTGTCACTGACCAGGAAGGGCTGCCTGCTTTCCCTTTTAGGTTTACATCATTCAGGTCACCGATGGCAACCATGAGTGGACAGTCAAGCACCGCTACAGCGACTTCCATGACCTCCATGAAAAGGTAATGAGAGCTAGAGGACCTGTGTCTCAGAGCTTGGGGACTTTAGGCCAAGTTCCCATTGTGCCACAGATTCGTTTTAGGGCAAAACAGATTCCATGCCTATAGTGTTCTTTAATAAGCAAGTTTACTAATTTAATTGCCAAAACAGCTGGTGGCTCCTGGGAGTTCAACCTTAGCATAAGGCAGTGTGTGAGGAGCATATTTGAACTTTAGTTTTAAGGTAGCCAGTCCTAGCTTGGATGTGAGATGCCGGGACAGTTTCTTGGGGGAGGGAATAGGTTTTAACTTGCTTGACCTGACTATAGCTATTCCATAACCTGTACTTTTAAAACTGGCTGTGACTCCATGTCTTTCTTTGCTTTTGGGAAGAGATGCCTTTCTCTGGGTCATCTGTAGTCTGAGGATTTTAAAGACAGGCCACCACCCTGGTTGTTTTCATTCTTGTTTGGAGAAATGGTGATTTTAAAGGTCTGGAGGTCTCCTTTTCTAAATGTCTCCAAATGGAGCTTCCTGTTTGGGATTATGCTGGCATTTCTCATATTCACAAGCTTGATGAGGCCAAGCCCAGGTGCCCTGCTTTGATCACTAATCATGGTACAGCTGTCACGAGGGGCTGTGGAAGTCAAGACAAGCATCTGCCTTCAGGCTGCTAGCCTTGATCTTGCAAAGACCAGAACCTCTTGGTCTGTGGTTGACATGCTTATGTTTTTTTACAGCTTGTTGCAGAAAAGAAGATTGATAAAAATCTGCTTCCACCCAAAAAGATAATTGGGAAAAACTCAAGAAGCTTGGTGGAAAAGAGGGAGAAGGATTTGGAGGTCTACCTCCAGACACTCCTGGCCACCTTCCCCGGCGTGGCCCCCAGAGTGCTGGCTCACTTCTTGCATTTTCAGTTCTATGTAAGTTCCTCTCAGGTTTTCTCTTTCCCCTGCAAGCCCACAACCACCTGAGCTCAAGGCAGCACACCTCAGCTTTGAAGAAAGGTGGGCTGGAGTTTGATCCTGAGGTTAGAAGATGGAGGACCAGCACCCTGGTGGGGATGGGGTGTGGGTAGAGCATGTACATGGACAGACTTACCTTACATTAGACAGACTATGACTACAGAGAGACTTTCCTGCACCACAGGCCCTTTGGTTAGCAAAAGTGGGTGTTTAAGCCAGGTTTCCATCCAAATGGATTGGGGGTAGATTAGAAACAGCTAACACCTGGCATAGACCATAGTGTTGAGTTGTTGGCTCA